CTAGAAGAAACAAATCTGAACAACAGTCAGAGCAAACAAACTCAAAGTCAAAGCATGGAAAACAATCCTGTAAGCAAATAAATCCCTCAAAAAAACCTGGGTGGCCATCATAGTATTCGACAACATAGTTTTAAGTCTGAAAAAGATTAGATGGGATAGCAAGGGCCATTTTTAAATAATCAAGGGATATAAACAGCAGGAAGAAATCACACTCCAAAACATATACGCACCCACGAGGAACCAGATAGATACTAAAAACAACTGTGAATAGACTTCAAGGAGGACATTCATAGCAGCACAATAGTAGTTGGAGACTTCACAACTGCCTTATCACCTCTGGATACATCAGCAAGATTAAAACTCAGCAACGAAGTACTGGATTTGAAGGAAGAAATAGAAGAGAGAGGGCTAATAGATGTAAGGAGAGCCTTGCATCCCCCAAAAAACCAAGCACACACTCTTTTCCAGTGCACTGTAAACATTTTCCAAGATATACCATGTGATGGGTCACAAAACATACCTCAATAGAATCAAGAATATGGAAATTGTATCAACTATCTTTTTAGACCACGTTGCACTGAAGATAGAAGTTAATCACACACAGACACAGAGAATCAAATCAAACACCTGGAAATTAAACAACTCAATGTTGAACAATGAGTGGGTCAGGAGGAAATAAAGGAAGAAATCAAAAGAAGCCTGGAGACAAATGAGAATGAAGACACAAGCTACCAGAACCAGTGGGACACAGCTAAAGCAGTGTTAAGGAGAAAATTTATAGCTCTGCAAGCATTTCTCAGGCAGGAAGAAAGTGCTCACTTAAATAACTTGACTTCATAGCTCAAGATCTTAGAAAAGGACCAACGAAAGAAATCCAAACCAGGCAGAAGGAAAGAAATAATAAAACTAAGAGCAGAAATTAATAACATGGAAAACAAAAAAAAATTGAAAGATCGATGAAACTAAGAGCTGGTTCTTTGAGAAAATAAACAAGATTGATAAACCACTAGCAAGATTCACAAAGAAAGAGAGACAGAACCCTAGTAAACCAAATCAGAAATGAAAAGGGGGACATCACAACAGAAATCAAAGAAATTCAAAAGATTATCAGAGATTACTTTGAAAGTCTGTATGCCATGAAGTAAGAGCACCTAGAAGAAATCGATAAATTCCTGGATTCCTATAACCTCCCAACGCTGACCCAAGAAGATTTGGAATACCTGAATAGACCTATTACTATCAAAGAAATTGAAAGTGTAATAAAAAATCTTCCCCCAAACAAAAGCCCAGGACCAGATGGATTCACTAGCAAATTCTTCCAAATATTTAAAGAGGACCTATTGCCAGTTCTTTTCAAGCGTTTCCAGGAAATTGAAGAAACAGAAACACTCTCAAACAGTTTCTATGGGGCACATATCATCATAATACCAAAAGCAGAGACACCACAAAGAAAGAAAATTACAGGCCAGTATCCCTGATGAACACGGATGCGAAGATCCTCAACAAAATATTAGCAAATAGAATCAACAACTCATCAAAAAGATCATACAAATGACCAAGTGGGATTCATCCCAGGGATGCAAGGATGGTTAAACATTCGCAAGTTAAACAATATAATCTATCATATCAGTAAAAGAAAAGATAAAAACCATATGATCATATCAATAGAGGCAGAGAAAGGATTTGACAAGTTCCAGCACCCGTTTATGATGAAAACTCTCACCAAAATAGGTATTGAAAGCCAGAATCACACATATGGGGGAAAAAGGGAGCTCAGATAGAGAAGGGAGCACCAAATAAAGGGTGTTGGGAGGATCCTCCCAGGGTGGGAGAAGCATGCTGAAAGTAGACTATAGACCAAACATGATTGCCACTCAATGCCTCTTTTGAAAATCACAACACTCAAAAGGAGAGAGAAAACAAAAGGGAATACCTGCCACAGAGGCAGGGTGGGATTGGGGGGGTGGGGGTGGGAGGGATACTGGGACCCATGGTGGTGGAAATTGGGTACTGGTGGAGGGATGGGTACTTGATCATTGTATAAATGAAACCCAAGCACAAAAATTTGTAAGTCTACAACTGTACCTCATGGTGTTTCACTAATAAAAATTTAAAAATAAAATAAAATAGGTATTGAAGAAGCTTCCATCAATATAGCCAAAGCTATCTACCACAAGCCTATGGCAAACATTATACTCAATGGAGAAAAATTGAGAGCCTTCCCTCTAAGATCAGGGACAAGACAAAGATGCCCACTTTTATCATTTCTATTCAATATAGTACTGGAAGTACTTGCAATAGCGCTTAGGCAAGATTAAGATATTAAGGGCATCCAGATAAGAAAGGAAGAAATCAAGCACTCGCTATTTGCAGATGATATGATACTATATTTAGAGAATCCTAAAGCCTGTACCAAAAATTCCTAGAAACCATACACTTGTAAAGTCTTAGCTATAAAATCAATACTCAAAAGTCCATGACGTTCCTATACTCAAATAATGCGAGAGAAGAAAATGATATGAAAAAAATAATCCCATTCACAACTGCGCCTCTGATAATCAAATACCTTGGAATCAGCATAACTAAAGAGGTAAAGGACCTTTACAAAGAAAAATACAAAACTCCACTGCAATAAATAAAAGAGGACATGAGGAAATGGAAATACATACTCTGCTCGTGGATTGGAAGAATTGACATTGTCAAATTGGCAATAGCATTATACAGGTTCAATGAGATCCCTATAAAGATACCCATGAAACTCTTCAAATAAATTTATCAAACACTCCTGAAATTCACATGGAAAAACAACCCCCCACGGATAGCTAAAGCAATTCTTGGGTAAAAGAAGATGGGAGGCATCACCTTCTCCGACCTCAAACTCTTCTACAAAGCAGTAATAATTAAAACAACATGTTATTGAAACAAAGACAGATCCACGGGGAAGTGAAATAGGATTGAACATCCTTACATACATCATCAAATATAATCTTTGATAAGGGAGCAAGAAATGTGAAGTGGAGTAAGAAAACACTCTTTAGCAAATGATGGTGGCAAAACTGGACAGCTACATTCAAAAAAAAAAATGGGTTCAAACCTCTACCTAACACCATGCAGAAAAGTCATATCAAAAAGGACCTCAACATCATACCATAATCCATAAGGTACACTGAAGAAAAGGTCGGCAAAACCCTTCACGACATTGAAGCTAAAAGTATCTTCAAAGATGAAATGCCCACCACTGACCAAACAAGTGGAAACAGAAATAAACAAATGGGATTATCTTAAACTAAGAAGCTTCTGCACCTCAAAAGAAACAGTGACAAGAATACAAAGACAGTTTACAGAAAGGGAAAGGATATTCACCCAATATAATCTGATAAGGGGTTAATATCAAGGATATACAAGGCACTTGTTGAACTCTATAAGAAGAAAACATCCAATACCATCAGAAAATAGAGCAATTAAATGAACAGAAACTTTCTTAAAGTAGAAATCCAAATGGCCAAAAGGCACATGAAAAAAATGTTCCTCATCACTAATCATCAGAGAGATGCAGATCAAAACAACGAGATATCATCTCACACCATAGAGACTGGCACACAACCAAAAGAAAAAAAGCAACTGGTTTTGGTATGGATGTGGGGAGAAGGGGACTCTCCTTCACTGCTGTTGGGAATTCCAACTGGTTCAGCCTTTTTGGAAAACAATATGAATGTTTCTCAAAAAACTAGAAATTGAGCTCCCATTTGACCCAGTAATACCACTTCTGTGAATATATTCTGGAGATGCAAAATAGTATGGTAGAAATGACTTCTGCACTTTCATTGTTGCACTGTTTACAATAGCCAAAATATGGAAAAAAACCCAGAGTGAACAAGAACAGGTAACTGGTTAAAGAAACTTTGCTATATCTATACAATGGAATACTATACAGCTATTAGCAAAGATGAAGTCATGAAATTTGCATATAAGTGGATCAACATGGAGAGTATTATACTAAGTGAAATGAGTCAGAGAGACAGACAGATGTAGAATGACTTCACTCATTTGTCGAATATAAAGTAATAGAATGGGAGATTAACACCTAAAGATAGTAGAGATAAGGGACAGGAGGATCATTCCATGGCTTGGAAACTGGCCTCAACATGTTGGGGTAAAAGGCAGCTGAGATAGAGAAGGGACCAAGTAAATGATGCTTGGAGGGATTGCTCAGGATGGGAGATGTGTGCTGAAAGCAGACTATGGACCGAACATGATGGCCACTTTGCACCCATATTGTGAACCATAACACCCAAAATGAGAGAGAGAGAGTAAAAAGGAATGTGCCTGCCACAGAGGCGGGGGGGGGGGGGGGGGGGGCTCTGGGGGTGGGGGTGGCAGGAGGGAAACTAGGAACACTGGTGGTGGAGAATGGGCATTGGTGGAGGGATGGGTACTCCATCTTTGTATGACTGAAGTGTAAACATGAAAGTTTGTAAATCTGTAACTGTATTTCACAGTGATTCATTAAAAAATTCAAAAAGAAAAAAGAAAAAAATTTAGGAGATGATGTAACTGCCTGAGCCTCAGTTTCCCTCATGTGAAATGATCACATATGGTCCTAGAAGTATCATCCCCAGCCAACACCCATGCCTCCCAACCTCACCAGAAGCAGGCTGGAAATATAATCGCAATTTTGGTTGCCTGTGACTGAGATACTCTCAATCTAGTGACCAGGCATGTTCAACTTCTCATAATGATCTGGTTTCTTCACAGCCAAAAGGCCGAGTGAGAAGCCCTCCACCCCACCCCTGTGGAATCTGTGTGGGGATGAGTTTTGGAAGGAGGAATTCAGTACCAGAAAGATGCAAGCTGGATTTCCTCTGCAGTACTGAGTACAGCCCAGAGGGGGTGTTTGCTTAATATTTCTCAATGAAACTACACGCCCAAAGAGGTATATGTGGTGGTGGGTTGAGAAGCGTGTACAAGGGCAGCAGCCTGTTGCTTAGGTGGGGCCTTACCCAGCATGCACAGGGGTTTCCGGGCAAACTTCAATCTTCCCCTCCAGCCTTTGTATCGGCAGCAGCATCCGGCAGCCCAGATCCTTAAAGCAAACTCGGCTCCAAAGATGAAAATAGCAAATGTTTCCTGCATTGAAGAACATATGGAGAAGCGCTGATGAACAGGAACCCAGTTGCCTGGAACTTGTGGTTTCTGCTCTGAAGTTCTGCAGCCAAATTCCACCTGGCTCCCAGAAGGGCTCATGGTGGTCGACATGTGGCATCTGGGCCGGGCACCACCTGCAGTGCTTTACAATTATTATATTTCTGGTATTTTTTTTTGAAGAATCATGGCAAAGAGAAGGGAAAACTAAATTTCTCAATGCCACAGCCAGCAAAGGTGATACCTCTGGCTCAGGAATCAGGTTCAAGTGAAGCCCGTGTGTGTAGGCACCCAGCTGGGCTGCATCCTGGGAAGACACTGGGTCGTCCCCTTCCCTTTATTAAGAACCAGCACCTATACGATTTTCCTTGCACCTTTGTAGAACTGCTGGTCCACTGGAATCTCTGATCTCTAGTTCCTGAAATTGGAATATAATCCACACCCACCCCACACCCACCTCATATGGATCCAGTTCTGAGCTGGGCAAATCTCTCCCTTCAGAAGAAGTCAGATTATTCTATGCCATGCAGAGGCTTGCTTCTTTGACCTTGTGAGCACTAATCAAGCAATGAGAACGCTTGTCTCTACAGAGGTGGGTCACTGCACCCTGATGAAGTGGGTTGACTTTAATGCAGTTAGACTGTCGTAATACAACGGCCAGAGACCAGAGCTATTAGGTTTCAGAAGGACCAAGGCTTTCCTGTAGCTCCTCTGGGTCAGGGGACGAGGTTGTACTGAGTCTATCAGCCTTTCGTCTTCACCTCACCTTTTAGTGGGGGAAGAATATGAGGAGAATGTGAGCCAGAGACATGAGGTAACTTAACCTAATGGCTGAGGTCACACTGTCCACCATGTGCCCACATAGAGAATAGACAGCACACAGATGTAGATTCTGGAACAAGAGCTTAGAGTTTTCATGTAAGAAACGTGGTTTGCATTGGCCTTGAAAGGAATAGAAGCTCTTCAGGGTTAATTTGGGGATGCCGAATTTTATAGTACAATTACTGATACTGGTCATTGCTTTAACCTTATTCATTCCCCCTTATCTCTCATATGGAAAAACAAAATTATTTTTTTCTTATTTTCATTCTTTTTTTAAATGTGGGGCCCAAGCCTAGCAGTGTTCAGTGCCTATTCCTGGCTCTGTGCTCAGAAGTGACCTTGGACAGTGCTTGAGGAACAATTTACAGTGCCAGGGATTGAACGGGGTTAGATACATGCATAGTGGTTCCTTAACCCCTTTACTATCACTGAACTTGGAAAAACACAATTCTAATCTGGACCCCAGCTCCCCACTCTGCCTGTACCATGGCAGACCTCAGTCATTGAGCCAAACTTTATTTTCTCCTGAGCCAGAACTTGGCCAGAGATGCCCAACAATGGTTGGGTGGAAGCTTCCCCATCTTCTCCATAAAACACTAGGGTTGTTTGCCCCAGAACAGCACCACAACTGGCCCCTCATCTCACCAGTAACAGAAGCCAGTCTCCCGAAACTGTCTCATACTCCTTGAAAGTGGTGAGGACAGCCAGAATCAAGCAGCCCAGGACAATCAGAAACCTAGAAGCAAGGAAGAAAGCGAGTAAGAACATGTTTCATCCTGCCTTGCTGCAAGCTGCAAGCCTACTCCTGGATGGTGTTAGTTGGCTACAGGTACAACTCAGGCATGCTTTCCACATAACACACCTAACCTCGCCTCAAAACATAAAATATGTTTGGATTACTGTTTCAGATAAAAGGCAATAGAACAGAGAGGTTAGGGAATGTGCCATCTTTGAGTTTAACAGCTATTCAGTGGAATCAATCAGTTATAGTTTCAACTGGATCATCTGATATCAACACTAGGAACTGCAGACTCCAGGAAGACCAAAAAGGACCATTATTTTTGATATATCAGAAAAACCATAAATTTAAAACGCACATAAAGGACTACGATTTTCAAATATATGAATATTTAATCTAAGTATAAACACAAAATTCACTACAAAGAAGGTTACTATATTATATTATTATATTATATTAAAATATATTATATTAAAATATATATAAATAAATATAAATAAAAATAAATAAATATAAATATAATATATTAAAATATATTATATTAAAGTAATTAATAATATATTACTATTATTTTTTCTATAGATGACCATTACTAAAGGAATTCGCCTTTTTCTGCTGGAGGTTTTCAGGGTTGCTATTGAAATTTCAGAAAACCCACTAGTAAGAATATGAACCATGATGCAGAATGATACTGAATAACTGAAAATTCATAAAGAGGTTGGCTGGTTCATGTTTTTGCACCAGGAAGCAACAAATTACAAATTATTCTTTGAGATTATTATCTTTATAAATTTGGTGTGGGGTGGAAGGAGAAGATAGGTTGGCTTATATGTGAATGTTTAATTTTTTAGTAAAGAAAAAATGTTTCTCCTTCCTTCTAGCTGGAGGTTTCTAATTTCAATGATCAGTATGTTGGTCCCCAAGTTTGTCCCCAAGGTGCCGAGAGGAACTTAGAAGACAGGACTCACAGCTAAGGTAGTATAATACTGTAAGTCCTCCTTCTCTGCATATTTCTTTTCCTACTAGGTTCCAATCCTACTAGGTTCTTTTCACTTACTTGTACACTCATTCATTCATTCGATATTTACATGGGGCATCCTGAGAAAATGGAGCTGGAGTTTTGTGATAAAGAAGTTTTATCTGTCCTCATGAATGCAGACAGATGCATTATAGTATTGTGGTAAGGACAAAGATACTAGTGAGTTCAGAAATGATAGCTCCTATCTTTGGCTGGGTACTCAAGTCCTGCTTCTGATCCTGGTACTTCTAATCACATTTCTGATCAACAAACTTGCTATTCTGCAGATCCCAATCCATGTCTAGAAACTGAATCATGCCTAGAATCTTAAAAATGTTCTTGTTTCTCACTTATGTTTGACCCCTTTACTTCAGATTTGTAACCATGACTCTTGCCTAGAGTCTACTGACTCTTAATCATCTCAAGTGACAATGATGGTGATAATGATGACAACAATGATGACAATCTAGGTAACATCACCAACAACTCCCCCAACCACCTGTAAATGATTGCCACCATTCACCACTTCATGTCTTTCAGCTCATCGTTCACAATCACCTTAGAGTAAATATGATTAATCCCATTTTAGAGATGAAGAAATTCAGAGAAGAAATTATTAGCATCCAGGTAATGATGTAGCAAGAGAAAGACTCAAGAGTTTTGAATCTGAAGATACAGTGAGAAAGAAGTTCTTACACTCTACCTGAAATATACCGAGCAACCCTTGAGAAGTAGCTCCTTTATTTGGGGGACCACAAAAATCACATCCATAGAATGGCAATAATGAACCATCCTAGTGATCCCGGCTATTGTGAGTATAACAGATAAAATGAGGAGTCATTCCATCATCTTTGTGGGATCAATTACAAAACAATGCCGTCTTCCAGATCCACGCTCATCACTGGTCAGCTAGGCTCTGGGAAATGTCAGGGAAGTTCATCATATTCAGATGGTGCTCTAAGTCCACACTCAACTTTCTATTCCAATACAATTGTACCCACACTTATTTTGTAATCCTTTCCTTGTTTTTGTGTAGTAATGACAGTTTCACACATACAGTTGCACCTACTATTATTTTGTAATCTTTTTCAGGCTTTCTGTAGTAAAGGAAGCATATTAACTTCATGCCTGATAGCAGGATTCTTAAATCAGGAACTGCCTTTGTCTATTGAAATACTTTACTGATCCAGTTGAGGTAGAAGCTGTAATACTAAAGACACAAGACTACTCAGCAATAGAAACAACCAGAATGGAGGAGAAGGGTTGGTCTTCCTGAATAGGAAAGATCAGGAAGAAGAGAGGATATGGCCTAGCCACAAAATAAAAATAAATATTTGAAAAACAGAAAGGGGATTGATTTATATGCAGAGCTGCCACTTCATGCTCACAATGCCTAGCTGCTCCTGCTTTATCCTAAGACCTCTTTCCTGCTCCATGCCTCACTCCCAGAACCCTTCTATCATAGTTTGATTGAGTGTATCTCTTTCCCAATAGTGCTTTTCCTATTGGAAAGTACTTTAAGAACCAAATTGCCGGGGCTGGAAAGATGGCACAGCGGGTAGGGTGTATGCCTTGCATGCGGCTGACCCGGGTTCAATTCTCAGCATCCCATATGGTCCCCTGAGCACTGCCAGGAGTAACTCCTGAATGCAGAGCCAAGAGTAACCCCTGTGCATCGCCAGGTGTGACCCAAAACAGCAAAAAAAAAAAAAAAAGCCGGCATGGCCATGGCTCCAGAAGCACAAAGACTTAATGCAGAGCCCGGCAGCTTGCAGCAGAAAACTGAATGGGCTATGTGTTAATCCATGCCGCCATGCCTGCCTGGAGGGGAAAGAGTGTTGGTCGCTTGTGCCTTTTTCCCTCTGGAAAGAAAGATGGCAGCCGCTTGGGAGCTCTGTGGAAAGCCAGGTATGAGCCGGTCATGATGGGGCGACTAAAACCTCATGGGAAGGGGGGGCCTTTTCAGCTCATCTTTCACGCCCTACCAAGGTCACGAGTTGCCCCCCACAAGCAGCTCTCCGGCACGGCCATGGCTCCAGAGTACAGAATCCAATCTCCTAATTATCCGACTCTCAGCAGAAATACTTCCAGGGTCAATACGCAAAATACCAGAAATCCAAAATCGCGTGGCCGCTATCGTTTGATTCTTGTGACCAGCTGTAGAAAACAAATTCACAATGCCTTTTCAGCATGTCTGATTTGGGGGTGTAAAGTCTAAATAATAATGGTGCATCTTTTGTCGAAACAATGAATCTAGTCAAAGTAGATAGAGTGTTAACTAGAATTCATCTGCCTCACAGGCATTGGGAGGGTTGGGGGGGATTTATTGGGGTTCTTTGTGGTGAAAAATAAGTATTGGTAAAGGGAAATGTGTTTGATATTTGCATAACCGAGACTTAAACCTGAAAGCTTTGTAACTTTTCCCACAGTGGTTCAATAAATAAATTAAAAAAAAGAACCAAATTGCCTCAAAATTTTTATTGGTGGTCTTGGCATGCAAATCTTCCACTAACAGCCTATGTCTCTTTGGCATCAAACATGCAGCTGCAGTCACTGGATGAGTAGACAAGTGAGAAGAGAAGGTGCAGTGCCTCACAGCTGAATTAATTTAGTGAGAACAAATGCTCTTATCCAGATGTTGAAATCTGACCTGTATACATTCCCATACTTGGAGGGTGGAAGCTTTAAATATATATCTTTACATTTATTTTTTACTTATTTATTTTTATTTATTTTTGTTTGGGGGAGTCCACGTCTGGTGATGCTCAGGGTTTACTCCTGGACCTGCACTTAGGAATTACTCCTGGTGGTGCTTGGGGGAATCATATGGGATGCCATGGATTGAATCCAGGTTGGCCTCATGCAACGCAAAATCCCCATTATTGCTGTACTATCACTCTGGCCCTTACATATATATTTTTACATGTGTAAACACCATAATATCTTTATCCATATCAATATCATCTAATTCTACATACATACTCATAGTATATCATGCCATATGTCTATAGCACCTATATCCATATATCTCACATAACCTATATCAACATATACATCTGTTTATCAATATTTTTATTCATATATATATATTTTCTAGACCAGTATATAATTCATACAATCTGACTTATATCTAATCAATATCTAAGACATACCTATAGTCACACTCATATCACTCTATCTAATCCATACTATAACTATATCTATAAAATTTTTTACAGCCTGTGTCTATGTCCATATGCCATTTGACCATGACTCTGCTGCTGTCCCTGATGATCTCTGACAGCTCTGAAAGCTATGGTTATGCTGAGAGAGGATGAGGGCAAATCTGGAGGGGCACAAAGTATCCTAAGGCCCTCCCGTTGATCGTCGATTTGCTCGAGCGGGCCCAGTAACGTCTCCATTGGAGACTTTGTTGTTACTGTGTCTGGTGAGAGAATCCCAAGGTCATCTCCAAAGCATAAGGCTGTGCAGCATCTGGAGGGCCGGCAGGGAAGTTTGCAGGCAGATCATGATTTCATGAACATCAGGAGTCTATGCAGTGGAACCAGCAAGCCTGAAAGATCAACCATTGTGTGGTCTCACTGTGGTCTCACTGAGCTTGATTCCCAGATGAGAGGTCTGGGCTGGAGATCTACATCCCTTACAAACTCTAACAGTTTGTGATTTACAGTTTGTGATTTTAGAGCTGGCTGAGGACAGACTATTGAGGCTTTATTGCACTGCACTGTACTGTCCTCCCGTTGTTCATCATTTGCTTGAGTGGGCCCAGTAACGTCTCCATTGTGAGACTTGTTGTTACTGTGTTTGGCATATCTCATACATCACGGGTAGCTCGCCAGGTTTTTGGCGTACAGGCGAGATACTCTCAGTAGCTTGCTTGCTGGGCTCTCAGAGAGGGGTGGAGGAATCGAACTGGTTTGGCCAGGCTGGCTGCGTGCCCTACAACTGTGCTATTCAGCTGAGTGCAAGGTTCTACCAC